AGTCCGAGAAGGGCAATAGCAGGGTCAAATGGTGATTCCATTCCCAGCTTTCCCAGGAATCTCCAAACTGCTTTCCAAATTGGCCGCACCAATTTGCAGTCCCTTTGTTGTGGTTTTATAATCTGAAAAAGTGGTATAGTAATCTTAGTAACAGATCAAAGACTCTATAATTTAATATTAATCCCTGTGGGAATCTCTGAGGGAATACTACCTTTTAATAACTTTACAGTTCTCATTTTCATCAAGAGAATATAGAGCAAATAGAATCTCCAGAGCTGAATTTTGTTTATATTTACTGTTGCTCTGAATGGAGGAATATCTTTATTTCCACAAAATAAAGATTTCTACTTTTTCCCTAGAAAATCATTTTCATTTTCATTTTTTTTTTTTTGTACTTGGTATTGAACTCAGGGACAGTCAACCACTGAGCCCTTTTTTGTGTTTTATTTAGAGACAGGGTCTCACTGAGTTACTTAGGGCCTTGCTAAGTTGATCAGGCTGGCTTTGAACTCATGATCCTTACGCCTCAGCCTCCTGAGCCACCAGGTTTATAGGCATATACCACCATGCCTAGCCAGAAAATTATTATTCTTTTTTTTTGGTGCTGGGGATCAAACCCAGGTCCTGTGCATGCAAAGCAAGCACTCTACCAACTGAGCTATATCCCCAGCCCCAGAAAAATCATTATTCTTGAAGATTCTTCTCAGGGCCAGCGGGTATAGTTCAATGGTAGGGTGCTGGCTCTTGCCTTGATTGTGTTCCCAGTACCACAGAAAACAACTACCAAACCAAAAAACTCAAAAACAACAACAAAAAACCCTACTGGGGTTGAACCCCTAGGGCATTCTACCACTGTGCTACATTCTCAACCCTTTTTATTTTGAGCAGAGTCCTGCTAAATTGCTAAGGCTGGCTTTGAACTTTTTTTTTTCCAAAATTTTTTTTTTTTAGTTGGGCACAATGCTTCTATTTTATTTATTTATTTTTAATTTTTATTTTTTTTAACATTTTCATTTTTTTAAAGAGAATGAGAGAGAAGGAGAGAGGGAGAGAATTTTTTTTAATATTTATTTTTTAGTTTTCGGCAGACACAACATCTTTGTATGTGGTGCTGAGGATCGAACCTGGGCCGCACGCATGCCAGGCGAGCGCACTACCGTTTGAGCCACATCCCCAGCCCCTATTTATTTATTTTTATGTAGTGCTGAGGATCGATGGAACCCAGTGCCTTGTGCAGGAGCACTCTACCGCTGAGCCACAACCCCCAGCCCTGGCCTTAAATTTTTGATCTTCTTTCCTCAGCCTCTGAGTAGCTGTGCCACTCACTGTGCCTACCTCATTCTTTCTTTTTATTTTTCTGACTATCCTTTTGCTTTTCAGTTAACTTTTCAGTCCTAGAATAAGGGAAGGGAATTAACATTTATTGAATGTCTATGAAACATAGTACAGTGACCTTAAAAGTTTGTCCTGTATTATCTCATTTAATTCTAAATGTGGTAGGTAATATATCTATATTATGAGTTAGAAAAAGGCTCAGAGATATATTTGCCCAAGTTCAAAACAGCTTATAAATGGTAGCTCTAGGATTTGAACTCTGGGATTATTTTAGCTTGAATTGTCTCTTGCATTTTAGCAGCACCTACATATAAATGAGGAAACTAAAATTCTTGGTATCATTAGCTCATTTATTTTGTGCTAGATGCTAATGAACTGTGGCTTCAAGTGTGAAGAGTTGTCATAGGAGTTAATACTGAAAAAACAATATCACTGGTCTTGTAACTATACATTTGTGCTTTTATTTTATTTTTTTTCCTCTACTGGGAAAAATCCAGCTTTATTGCTGAGAGAGGATGTCACTGAATTGTCCTAGTTGGCCTCAAATTTGTTATCCTCTTGACTCAGCTTCCCAAGTAGCTATGATTATAGGCATGTGCCACAGTGCCCTGTTTACATTTATTTTTTTTTATAAGGAAAGATTGGTGATTTATTATTAAATTACCTAACCCAAATTTCTAGCACTTAGTAATTGTAAGATAACAGTATCAAGTTACCAAGTTGGTAGTGTTGAAGTTATATAATAAGGGAAAGAGCACAGCCTTTGAAATTTAACAAGTTTGGGTTCAATTTTTTTTTTCTTTTTTTCTGTGCTCTAGATTGAACCAGGACTTCATGCATGCTAGGCTGGGTACAGCCCAGCCCCTGGGTTCAAGTTTTGATTTAGCCATGTAGAGTTGTAGTATCAACTGTGTATAATTTACATATTTTTTTCTGATCTGTAAAGTTAACATTATATGAATCCAGGGAGATTTAAATAAAAAAATTAAATGTGTATTTATAAGGGATACAAAAGAAGTACATATAACATATATGTATAGTTGAAAACTTTATAGTAATACAAACCCCTCAACCACATACCTGGCATCTAAGTTAATAGAAATTACAATATATATATATTTTTCCCCAGTACTGGGGATAGAATCCAGGGGTGCTTTATTATTGAACCCCTTTTTTTAAATTTTGAGACTGGGTCTCAGTAAATTGCTTAGGACCTCACTAAGTTGTTGAGGCTGGCTTTGAACTTCTGATCCTCCTGATACAACTAATATGCTGAATAATTTTGTTTTGCTTTCAGTACTATAATCCTAGCCCCAAATATGCTGGTAATTATTCTTTCATTTATGATTTTGCTATCTATGAATGTATCCTTAAATAATATATTGTTTTGTCTTTTTTTTTTTTTTTTTCTTTTTGGTACTGGTGATTTAACTCAGTGCTTAACCACTGGAACACATCCCTAGTCCTTTTTATTTTTTTGAGATAGGGTCTCATTAAGTTGCTTAGGGCTTCAATAGTTTTGCCTATTTTCCCACCCTTGGTATGAGGGATTGAACCCAGGGGCATTTAACCACTGAGCCACATCCTTAGTCCTTTTTATTTTTTCTTTTGAGACTTGCTAAATTGCTAAGGGCCTTGCTGAGTGGCTGAGGCTGGCTTTGAACTCAGGATCTTCCTGCCTTAGCCTCCTGAGCCACTGGGATTACAGGCATGTGCCACCATGGGCAGCTTGTTTTGCTTACCTTTGCATGTTAGTTTTAAAACTTTCATGTTGGTGTATACAGTTTTATTTCATGCATATTTTTCTGCTTTAGAATATTCCATTGTATGAATGTGCTATAGTTTATTTTACTGTTAATGGACAGCAGTTGAGTCATTTCCAGATTTTCATTATTATGAAGAGTGGTGCTCTGAATTTTTTTTTTTTTTTTTTTTTTTGCTGTGCTATGGACTGAACTAGGGGCCTACATGTGCTAGGCAAGCACTTTACCACTGAGCTATATACCTCTAGACCCGCCTCCAGATGTTCTAAACTTTGGTGCTATGTGTGAGAGTTTTTCAAAGAGTGGAGTTCTCTGGGAGTATATTTCTAGGGGGCTGGCTATTTGAAAGCCTAAAATATTCCATATATTCATCCTTTTTTCAAAAATTAAATGAGGAAGTGAATGCTGAATGCTTGGGTTAGCTTTTTCTTTTTTCTTTCCCTTTTGAGGATTGCACCCAGTGGTGCTTTACCACTGAATTATATTCCCAGCCATTTTTTTTTAAAGAGAGAGAGAAAGAGAGAGAGAGAGAGAGAGAGAGAGAGAGAGAGAGAGAGAGAGAGAGAGAGAGAGAGAGAGAGAGAATTTTTTAGTATTTATTTTTTAGTTTTTGGTGGACACAACATCTTTGTATGTGGTACTGAGGATCGAACCCGGGCCGCATGCATGCCAGGCAAGTGTGCTACCGCTTGAGCAACATCCCCAACCCCATATTTTTTTTTTTCTTTTTTGGTTCCAGGGATTGAAACCAGGGACATTTAACCACTGAGTCACATCCCCAGCCCTTTTTTGCATTTTATTTAGAGACAGGGTCTCACTGAGTTGCTAAGTGCATTGCTAAGTTGCTGAGGCTGGCTTTGAACTCTTGAGCCACCTGCCTCAGCCTCCTGAGTCACTGGGATTATAGCTGTGCGCCACCATGCCTGGCTTCCCAGCCATTTAAAAAATTTTTTTTTAGTTGTAGATGGACACAATGCCTTTATTTTATTTATTTTTATGTGGTGCTGAGAATTGAACTCAGAGCCTCACATGTGCTAGGCAAGTGCTCTTCCATTGAGCCACAACCCCAGTCCCCTTGACATTTAAAATTTTTTTTTTTTTTTAAATTTTGAGACTAGGTCTCACTAAATTGCCCAAACTGGACTAGAACATACTATCTTCATGTTTCTCTGTTTCTGAGTAGCTAGGATTACAGGCATGTGCCATCACACTTGACTTAGTATTTTTCAATAAATAGTGATTATTACTAATTCCTCTGAACTAATGTGAACTGTAGCTGAGAATTTTTTCTTTTTTTTTTTTTTGGTCTGGGGTTAGAACACCCAGGGGCATTTTGCCACCATGCTACAGCTCTAGTTCTTTTTATTTATTTATTTGGAGACGGGGTCTTGTTTAATTGCTTACAGTGTCACTAATTTTGCTGAGACCGGCTTCAAACTTGTGACGCTCCTCTCTTAGCCTCACAAGTTGCTAGAATTGCAGGTGCCACTGTGCCAGACTATAGCTAATGATTTTGCATGTGAATTTTTTTTCTTTTTGCAGTGGTTGGGTCAAATCTTATAGACTTGAGTATGCTAGACAAGTGTTCTGCCATTGTGCTATTGCCCCCAACCTTGTATAGCTGGCATTAGTAGAGATGAAATATGAATTATTGGAAACAGGAAATCTTCTCTTTCCCAAATATATTTTAATGTATTATCTCTCTTTTTAAAAATACCCTTATTTGCTTATTTATTTTTATGTGGTGCTGAGGATTAAACCCAGTGCCTCAAATGTGCGAGTAAGTGCTCTACCGCTGAGCCATAATCCCAGCCCCACAAATATTTTTTAAGAATTGCTTTAAAAAAAAAAAAAAAGGAGTCCCCAGAATATAGTTCAGTGGGTAGAGTACATGTGTGAAACTAAAAAAATTTAAATGAAAAATTGATACATAAAAAAGTAGGGGAAAAGTGGGCTTGGTCACTCATATCTGTAATCCTAGTGATGCAGGAGGCTGAGGCAGGAGGATTGCAAGTTCAAGGCCAGTCTGGGCAATTTAAACCTAGTCTCAAAATAAAAAAGTGAAAAAGGGGGCTGGGGATATGGCTCAAGCGGTAGAGCGCTCGCCTGGCATGTGTACGGCCCGGTTTTGATCCTCAGCACTACATACAAACAAAGATGTTGTGTCTGCCGAAAACTAAGAAATAAATATTAAAAAAAAAAAAAAAGTAAAAAAGGCTGGGCAGTAGTTTAGTATTAACAGTGTCCCTTGGGACAAGAACACAAAAACAATTACCAAAGAAACTATCTTCAGACCTTACACATACTTAATTTGCCAATATTTGATATCTTCCTAGATGTCCCATTGATAGTTCAGCCCTTTCAAACATAATTTTGCTATGTTCATATGTGAATACATCACAGTGAATCTCCATATTATATACAACAAGAATGGAATCCTAATTATAGTAAGATGTATTCTATGTATATATTATATGTCAAAATATATCCTACTGTCATGTATATCTAAAGAGAACAAATAAACACTTTTGTGACCTAGTTAAAAATGAATAAATAAATAACAGAGCCGGAGTTGTGGCTCAGTGGTAGAGTGCTTGTCTAGCATGCGTGAAGCACTGGGTTTGATCCCTGGCACCACATAAAAATAAACAAATAAAATAGAAGTATTGTGTCCGTCTACAACTAAAAAATAAATAAATAAATAAAAAACAAAACAAAACAAAACAAAAAAACAGTGCCCCTAGGTTCAATACCTCCAAAAGAAGTAGGGGATGTGTATGAGTTAAAAAATAAACTGTTTGAAGGAAAATGCAATGAAACATTTAACTCTTCCTCCCATTCTTAGTTTTCCAGGCCTTCTTTCTAAAAGATACTAGTTAATAGTTTCATATATATTCCTTTATGGGTAGCCTCAGAATGTACAAATGTATGTGTAACCTTTTTGTAAACATGTACTGGGCCTCATTTTTATGTCTTACAACTTAAGAGTTCATTTTATTAGCACCCAAGGATCTGTTTCATTCTTTCTCTAGTACTGAGGATTGAACCCAGGGCCACGAGCATGCTACTAGGCAAGTGCTCTACCTTTAAGCTGTAGCCCCAGCCAATATTTCATTCTTTTCTATAGTTGCATATTATTCATACACCAGAAAATATTTTATGTCCTTCACTTCTTCATGCTGAAATTTAGGTTAGTTCAGTCTCAAAATAAAAAAGTAAAAAAGGCTGGGGAGTAGCTTTTTTATTAAAATCAGATTTTTTATTAAAATCACCGTGGAGATGTATATATCTATATATCTTTATATATTTATACACACACTCATCTATGGTACCCATTCCTAGAAGTTCTCTCTTTAATATCAGTAAATGCATTTTATTATTTTATGAGTATAACAAGAATTTTTTCCCACTCCTTTAGAAAGAAGCCTAAGAAGAGAGAAAATGAGATTGGATGTAGAAGGTCAATGCGATTGCTAAAAGTGGATCCTTCAGGAGTTTCATTACCAGCAACTCCAACACAGCCGACATTAGAAGAAGATGAAAATGTAAGAAAGAGTGCAAATATAATATATAATATGAAAGTTTAAAGTGTTTGAAACAGAATGTTTTGAAAATGATGAGTTATTTTAATTTTTTATTTTTTAGAGAGAGAATTTTTTTTTTTTAATATTTATTTAGTTTTCTTCGGACACAACATCTTTGTAGGTGGTGCTGAGGATCGAACCCAGGCCGCACACATGCCAGGCGAGCACGTTACTGCTTGAGCCACATCCCCAGCCCCTTTATTTTTTATTTTTTAAAAATATTTATTTTTTAGTTGTAGGTGGACACAATATCTTTATTTTTATGAGGATTGAACCCAGTGCCTCACGCATGGTAGGTGAGCCCTCTACCTCTGAGCCACAACCCCAGCCCTGAAAACGATGAGTTATTTGCATTTCATTAATAGTACTTGAATGTAATATCATTTAATGAGTAAGATTTCAAAGTTATAAAGACTGGATTGTTCTGTACTTCTGCAGGACTTACCTATCATGGAGTTGTAGGTAAATTACTATAAATTATTTAACCTTTCTGAGCCTCAGTTTCTCCATTTTAAAAATGGCAGTAATAGAAGTTTTCAAGGGCTATCATGAGGATTAAATGAAATAGTATCTGTAAATTTCCTTACATTGTATTAAGAGCTTAATAAATAATAAAAAGTAATTATTAATGTTATTAATAAGTAATATGTGATATCAGTGAAGTTCCCTTGCTATAGCTTAATTTTATACTACCAGTGAGTGGAAACATTTTAATTTATTAAATAAGATTTGTAATTATACTTTTAATTCATGAGCTCCTACTGTTTTTAATGTTTTATATCTAAGTTCTTAATTATAAATTGGAAGATAGTACTAATTAGGTTGGTGCCTTGGGAGCTAATTGCAAATCAAGGTGATATGGAAAGCAGCATAGTAGAATAGCTTCCAAATTTTATTGAAGCACTAACCCATGATAAGAAACATTTATGGACTGGGGATGTGGCTCAGTGGTAGTTAGCTTGCTTAGCATGTTTAAGACCCTGGGTTCAATCTTTACCACTGCAAACACATACACACACACACACGCACACGCACACGCACACACAAACACAAACACACATTCTTCTGAAACAATAGTTTTGTGAAATGACAACTTTACTATTTGCGTGCATTTTGGTATTTTTTATTCTATTCTCATTCACTGTAGTTGCTGTTTTTGACAAATTAAAATGATTTCATAGCCTATTATTTGATTTCAACCTGTATTTTCTAAAACATTGGCATAGAATAATAGCAATGAGTACTGAACTGAACTAATAGGAGTTCTTCCTAGATCTTCCAGTTATTGGCAATGTAACTTGGTCAAATAACTTCTCTGAATTATGGTGTCTTTAAAAAGTGGTATCATTGAATGAATTGTCAAGAGGGTTAAATAAGATAGGAGACCTGGCATTCATTCATTTATTTTTATTTATATATATATTTAAACAAATTTTTTTAAGTTGTTGATAGACTTTTATTTTATTTATTTATATGTGGTACTGAGAATTGAACTCGGTGCCTCACACATGCCAGACAAGCATGCTACCATTGAGCTCCAGCCCCTATTTATATGTATTTTAACAGACACATAGTTATTGTACATATCTATGGGTTACAGTGTGGCATTGCAATACATGTATATAATATGTAATGATCAGAATAAAGTGATGTATCTGTCATCTCAGACATATATTTGTTTGGGAACATTAAACATCTCTATTATTTTCAAATAGTAAATTAATTGTTGTTAAGCATAGTTGTCCTCCTATTCTATTAGGAGTTATTCCTCTGATCCATCTGCATCCCTGTACCCATTAACCCTCTTTCCATCCCTTCTTCCTCCCCACTGTTCCCAGGCTCCGGTAACACTATTCTGGTTTTTACTTCTTTAGAATCAACTTTAGATTCCATTTATAGTGAAAATGTGCAGTATTTGTCTTTCTGATTTATTTTACTTAACATAATGTCCTCCAGTTTCATACATGTTGCTGCAACTAAAAATTTTTTCTGAATAGTTTTCCATGGTGTATAAATAACATTTTCTTTATTCATTTTTAATGGACATTTAGTTTGATTTTATATCTTGACAATTGTGAATAATGTTACAAATAATATATCTCCTTAACATACTGATTTTATTTTTTTGAATATATATCCAGTAGTGGGATTGTTGGATCATATGTTAATTCTATTTCTAGTTTCCTGAGGAACCACCATATGGTTTTTCATAATGGTGGCATTAATTTGCATTCATACCAACAGGGAATGAGAGTTCCTTTCTCTACATCCTTGCCAGCATCTGTTGTTTTTTGTTGGCATTCATTTATTGAATAATTATTTTTGAATAACTGTGATGTGCTATCACTGTTGTTGGTATTGACAGTAAAGTAGTGAAAAAACAGACAAATACCCTTTGCCTTTTTGAATGTGTAATTCTAGGGCAAGGAGACAAACAATAAACTTTTTATTTTTGATTACAGCCTTTGTTACCTCCTGGGCCTTTAGAAATGATTCCTGAAAATCAAGATGACAACAATGAACTATTTAAAGAATTTCTGCAGACATGGGGTAAAATGAACAAGGTATAACTTGGCAGAGCTTATAGCTTTTAGTATCATCTGTTAAGGAAATTTCCATGTATATTAACAGCACTTTGGTTTCTATTCATGTTTCAGACAAGTCTTAAGAACACTGAAAAGGGGCTGTTCAGCATTAAAAGGTAAATTAAAATTCCTTGCCTTTGTTTTACATTTTTTTAAGACATTTGAGCTACAAAAGCTATATAATATTATAGGAATTTTGAACATGAGGTGAAAAAATATCCCCTGTATTTCTACCCTACAATAACTGTTGTTTTTGTTTTTGTATATTTCCTTTCAGGTGTTATCATATGTAATACCAGTAGAATGTAAGCTTTACGAAGGCAGGGATTTTGTCTCAATAACTAGAATAGTGCCTGGCACATAGTATATATTTATTCAGTGTTGAAGAAAATGAGTGAATTCACATTTTTACAACAATGTATTCTAAAGTATATACAATTTTGCATTAGGCTTTTTCATTTGTGGTTATATGTTACTAGAGTCTTTAAAATTATTAAATAATTGCATAATAATTCATTGAGTAGGTGAAATTTTTACTTAACCTCCTTCTGCCTATTTAGTATTTGGGGTTATTTTCCATTTAGTTTTGTGTAATTGTATAATATTTGTTGAAGTGTTTCTATGACAGTGGATTACTTTCTCAGAATAGATTTCTGGAAGTGGGTCTAATGAGTCAGATATTGTGGAATTTTTTAATAGCTTTTAGTACACACTATTAAATCATTTTCCAAAAATCTTTTTTTCCCCCCTCCTGAAAATCTTATATGAACTCACTCTAAAACTAGCAATACATGTGAGTGTGTGTGTTTATATTTTTAAAATTTTTCAGTGCTGGGATCAAATCCTGACCCTCATGTGTGGGGCAATGCTCTATCACTGAGCCTATAGCCCTAGCCTGAGTATGTATGTTTATCTGTGGCCTCCTGGTTTTTGATATCATCATTAAAATTATTAAAGGTAATTTTATAATTCAAAAATGGTACCTCACTATTTTATTTCCTCAGTTAATCAGGAGGTTGAATATTTTCCAACATTTATTTACTATGACTTTCTTTTTTGAATCATCTTTTACTTATTTTGACTATTGAGATTGGTTTTACTTTAAAAATGTAACATTTTAATTTTGTAGCTACAAAGCCAATTTAAATGGAATGGTTATTAGTGAAGATGCTGTTCATAAAGTTACCAATGGCTCAATATTCTCTGTGGCTCTCCACCCATCAGAAACTAGAACTTTGGTAGCAGCTGGGGCCAAAAGTGGGCAAATTGGACTTTGGGATTTGGTAAGTTCTTATTACTTTCTTTTTTTTTTTTTTTTTAAAGGTATTCAAGTTTGACTGAAGCAAATAGTCTTAAGAAGACTAGCTGAGAGACATTCATTTATACCTATAACTTGAGATAGAATTGCTTTATGATTCTAAATTTTAGAAATCTAGAGGAATTAAATTTGTTTTTATAGAACTTTAACATTTTTAGCTTGAATATCATTAGCCATCTGGGCATAAATTAACTGCCAGGAGACTTTAAATGTATATGTGAAAAAGTCACATAAAATTCATAGTTTTTAAATTATGTTTAAAATATGATCTACTGTGATCTAAATGTTGTATCCCCCTCCAAATTCATATGATGACTTCCTAATCCCCAAAGTGATGATATTAGGAGGTGTGGGGCCTTGGGAGGTGAGTAGGTCATGCATGGGATTATTGCCCTTATAAAAGAAACCCAGTAGAGACCCCTTTCATCTTCCACAGGGACAGAGCTAAAAGTGACCATCCAGAAACCAGAAAGTAGGCCTTTGATAGATAACTAAATGATCCAGAACGTGGATTTTGGATTGCCAAACCATCAGACTTGAGAAATAATTTTTTTTTATTTTTATAATTTTGGTACTGGAAATTGAACCCGGAGGTGTTTTACCACTGAACTACATCCCCAGCCCTTTTAATTTTTCTTATTTTGAGAAACTAATTAAAATTGTAAGTTCAGTTCTCAGGCACATAGCCACATCATTTTGGTCACCTTAGAAAGTTCTTTTGACCAGCACTTCTTTGGAACAAATTAGTAAGAACATTAATTCAGCAAAAATAAAGCTGAAAGGCGAGATGATAAAATAACAGAATGAGATGAAAAAGATTGTAAAACAAAGGAAACAGATTGAAGATTAATGAAACTAATATTAGGCGAGAGCAAGGAACAGAATAGCTATTACAGAAAATCAAATTGGAGATATTATAGGAAGGATTTGTGATACTCAACCACGATGAGAAAGGCTTAGAGAAGCCAATAGAAAGACAGTCAAAGATGACCCAACAAATGAAACTGAGTGTATTGAAAAAGAACTTTTCCTGAAATGAAGATAGAATTGAATGGCAGCTGAAGATGATCCCATGTTCTAGAGAAATTTTTAACTTAATAGATAAAGAAATCTTCAGGTAAAAAAAAAAAATTCAAGGGGCTGGGGTTGTGGCTCAGTTGTAGTGTGCTTGTCTCACACATGTGATGCACTGGGTTTGATCCTCAGCAAAATAAAAAAAAAAAAAAAAGATATTGTGCCCATGTGTAACTAAAACAAAGAAAAAAAAAACAAATTCAGTATGAAGAGCCTGGCTTGTCTCAGTTTTCTATAGCAATATTATAAAGTTCTGAGAGAAAGACATATGGCCCTGGAATACTTATCCAGCTAAAGAAACCGTTTTTGTGTAATGGCAGCAGGTAGATAAAAAAATAAATAAAATAAAAAACAGCAACCTAAAGAAATATGTGAAAAAATTCAAGACTCATGAGTTTCTCTGGAAAAATGTTTGGCAGCAAATTCTGGCCAAATCAACCCTATCACTTGGGAGGCTAAGGCAGGAGAGTCAAAAATTTGAGGCCAGGCAAGGTAACTTAGACTCTGTCTCAAATAAAATGGGCTGGGGTTGTAGCTCAGTGGTAGAGCACTGACTAGCATGCATAAGGCCTTGGGTTCAATTCTAGTACTGCTAAAAAATTGAAAAAAATATAGTAAACCAAGATTAAGAATTTAGTAATGAGATCGGGGATGTAGCTCAGTGGTAGACTGCTTGCCTAGCACATATTAAGGCCCTGGTTTTGATCTCTCTCTCTTTTTCAGGGTCTCACTGAATTGCTTAGTGCCTCACTAAGTTGCTAAGACTGGCTTTGAACTCATGATCTTCCTGCCTCATCCTCTAGAGCCGCTGGGATTAACAGGCATTCGCCACAGTGCCTGGCACACTTTTTATTTTTTAATCTCTCACTTTTAGATAATTTCTATTGATTAAGAACATTATTCTGTCTTTCTCTAACCACCCTTTCTACATTCCCATATTTTATTATATTATTTTTATCTACCCTGATAACATTAATACTGAGTTCTACAACCATAATTCCTATGGCTGTTTAACATTTAATAATAGTTCAGCATTTAAGTGAATTGAATGTTCATTATCAATTTTTTTCCTAAGGTTTTCTACTCCTAAATTCTTTTTTTTTTTTTTAGTTTAAGCATAAGGATCAAAACCATGCAGGCACAGTGATGCATGCCTGTTAATCCCAGCAGCTTGGGAAACTGAGGCAGGAGGATCTCAAGTTCAAAGCCATCCTCAGCAACTTAGTGAGGCACTAAGCAACTCAGCAAGGCCCTGTCTCTAAATCAAATACAAAAAAGGGCTGGGAATGTGGCTCAATGGTAAAGCATCCCTGGGTTTAATCCCTGTAACCCCTCCCCCTCCAAAAAAAAATAGAATAAATAAAAAGTGTAATGACTATAGCTGCTTTATGTTTTACATTTTTTCCTTTATAGGAGACAATATATCTTGTGAAGAATTATCTGAAGTTCAAAAATTTCCTTAGCTTCATTTTCTTTTGTTATTTTGAAGTAGAGTTGAATTCAATACTATTAAAAAATGGCATGTACAGCATGGTCCTATTTTTCCTAAGTTTCTTCATTGTCTCTGTCATGCTGTCTGCATAGGACTGTATAAAGAAATCTGTAACTCTCATTCAGTATTTACTCAATATTTTCTTTAATTGTTTTTTTAGTTGTAGATGATACCTTTAAGTTTCATGTATTTTTATGTGGTCCTGAGGATAGAACCCAGTACCTCACATATGCTAGGCAAGCACTTTACCACTGAGCCACAGCCCGAGCCCACAATATTTTCTTGATAAAAAAAAAAATCAAGATTTGTAATGATTTGTAATGGATTTGTAATGATTTTTAAAAATTTTCATCTTTGTGCATCTGTATTGTTTTTCTTTTTTTTTTGAGGGGGGTGGGTACTGGGGATTGAACCCAGGGTCTCAACTCATGCCAGGTGTTTTAGTTAACTATTTTGCTGCGTGACCAAAAGACTTGACAAGAATAATTTTAGAGGATTTTGAGATTCAAGGTTTTAGAGGTTTCAGTCTGCATGTGGTCTTTCTGGGCCCAAGATGAGGCAAAAACATCATAGCAGAAGGCTATAGCAGAGGAAAGCAGCTGGGGACATGGCACCAGGAAGTGGAGAGAGACTCTGCTTTCCAGAGATAAAATTTGAACCCCCTAAGGTTTACCCCAAGGACCCAACACCTCTAGCCACACATTCCCTGTTTACCATCACCACTAGGTTAATCCCTGATGTCACACACTTATTAGGTCAAGGCTCTGATTACCCAGTCCTTTTACCTCTAAATATTCTTGCGTTGCTGCACACATGAGCATTTGGGGGATACCTCAAATCCCCAACCTCTGTATAAAGATATTTGTAATCCTCCCGCAATTTTTTTTTTTAAATCTTGATATTTTGGATTTGTTGTGATTTTTTTTTTTGAATTTTCGTCTTTGTACATTTCTGTATTTTCTTTCTTTCTTTTTTTTTTCTTTTTTTTGTATTGGGGATTAAACCAGGGTGCTTTAACTGCTGAGCTCCATACCCAATCATTTTTTTTTGTTTCATTTTGAGATATGGTCTCACTAGGTTGCTTATGGCCTTGCTAAGTTGCTGATGCTGGCTTTGAAACTGTGAATTTCTTGTCTCAGCCTCCCAAGGTGCTGGGGTTACAGATGGGTGCCACCATGCCTAGCCCATTTTAGTTCTTTATAACAATAGATAGTTCTGTTTTTCTAGAAAATAAATGTTATAAACATTATGCCAAGATATCAACAGTTGTTAACTTTTCATAGGAGAATGTGTGTGATTGTAATTTTTTTCCTTTTCTTTCTATTTTCCTTGTTAAAAATTTTTTTTTCTTAATTTTAAAATTTAAAATAAAAATCAAGGGCTGGGGTTGTGGCTCAGAGGTAGAGCACTCGCCTAGCATGTGCAAGGACCTAGGTTTGATCCTCAGCACCACATAAAAATAAATAAAATAAAGGTATTATGTCCAACTACACCTAAAAATAAATATTAAAAATAATATTTTCTAAAAAATAAAAGTAAAAACCAAAATTGACTATTTCAGAGCAGACTAAGCCAGAATTGGAAATAATCATTGCTCTGGTTTATAATATGCTATATGGTATAGGAACCCAAATCTGAAAAATGACTTCTTAGGAGTTGGTAATCCAATTGAATAAAGGCTAATCCTTAGATGTAGTAATATTAATATGGAAATTCAAATGTGTGAATTTTCATTGTGCATTTAGTATACAAAATACTTTTAAAACTATAATTTTTCTGCCAGAACCAAATACCTTATGAAAAGTTGGAGGCCAGCCTGGACAACATAATGAGAACCCATGTTTAAAAAAATTATACTGAGAATAATGTTAATATTACTTAGAAAGCAAAGTGTTAATGATATTGATACTGTAGTAATGAATTAATGTCATGTGAAATAAAGAGTATATTTCTAATTTCCTGGGGGATTTCATCTTGTGAAGTCATAAAAGTATGATTTAAAAACATTTTTTTGGGGGCGTGGATACCAGGTATTGAACATGGGCACTCAACCACTGAGCCACATCTCCAGCCCTATTTTGCATTTTGTTTAGAGGGTCTCACTGAGTTGCTTAGCACATCGCTTTTTGCTGAGGGTCACTTTGAACTTATAACCCTCCTGTCTTAGCTTTCTGAGATGCTTAAAAATTAACTTGATGCTGTCCCATAATTCTTGGATGTTCTGGCGAGTATGTGAGGAAAAAGGTATGTTCATACACTGCTGGTGGGACTGCAAACTGGTGCAGCCCATATAGAAAGCAGTATGGAGATTTCTTGGAAAATTGAGAATGGAACCACCATTTGACCCATCTGATTCATGGGTAGGGAGTGGGAGCATGGGAGGAATAGACAAACTTTAGATAGGGCAAAGGGGTGGGAGGGGGCATGGGGTTAAAAGTGATGGTGGAATATGATGTCCAAAGTACATGTATGAAAACACGAATTGGTGTGAATATACTTTGTATACAACCAGATATGAAAAATTGTGCTTTTTATGTGTAATAGAAATTTTAATGCATTTTGCTGTCATATATAAATAAAAAATTAATTAAAAAAAGGTAGTTAAAAAAAAAGTTAATTTTTGAAACAATCTTGCCCAGACTGGTTTCTTAACTCCTGAGCTCAAGTGATCCTCTTACTTAAGCCTCCTGAGTGCTAAGGCTACAGGTTCATGAGACCATGCCTGGCAGAAGTAGTGATCCACATGCTATTTGTCTGTGTCGTCCCCCCGCCCCACCATGCCCCCACTATTGTAAAGAAACTAGTTTGCTATTTGTGAAAAGCTGGACACTTAAAATTAATGTGATTTGGTATTGTTGATTTGAAAATTATAAGAAGAAAATTAAATTGTAAGAAAATTAAAACTATCAGAAAATGATAAGAGAAAATAATTTAATGTCATTTCCTAATTCTGACTATTTGAATGGGAGAGTGGTTGCTGTTATAGACTTAAAAAAGACAATATAATCCAGATGTAAATACTTTAATTACATAATAACATAGTAAATATGTACTTTTCACTAGTTTTTAATCTTTTTTTCAAATTCCACCTCTTCCAGACCCAGCAAAGAAAAGAAGATGGAGCATATGTTTTTTATCCCCATAGTCAACCTGTTAGCTGTCTTTACTTCTCACCTGCCAATCCAGCCCACCTACTGTCATTGAGCTATGATGGCACGTTACGATGTGGGGATTTTTCCAGAGCTATTTTTGAAGAGGTAAATGTTAATTTGTTTATATGTTGACATCCAATGATATTCTAGATTCTCCATGAAATGCTATATGAGTGCTTTTTTTTTTTTTTTTTTTTGTACTGGGGGTTGAACTCATAGGCACTTGACCACTGAGCCATATCCTCGGCTCTATTTTGTATTTCATTTAGAGACAGGGTCTCACTGAGTTGCTTTGCACTTGCCGAGGCTGGCTTTGAAATTGTGATCCTCCTGTCTCAGTCTCCTTAGTCGTTGGCATGTACCATTGTGCCCGGCCACATGAGTGATTTTTATATCAGACTGAAAAGTAGTACAGTCTAAGGACTAAGTTCAATTCTCAGACCATCTATTACTAGTTGTGTGATCTTATTTGTGTCTCAATTTCCTTAGTTGTGGAATGGTATAGTCATAGTGTCTACTTTATAGGGTTGTCAGAAAGATTAAAGGAGTGAATGCAGATAAAGTATTTAGGACCAAGACTGGCACATAGTGTTTGCTTTTATTTTTAATTTTTAATTTTTTTTATTTTTTAAGAGTCAGGATTATACTCTGTTGCCCAGGCTGGCCCCAGACTTCTGGGCTCATACAATCCTCCTGCCTTAGCCTCCTGAGTAGCTGGGACTACAAGTATATACTACCACACCTGACTATTCATATTCACTGTTATTATTTGCAGAAAAATTTTAAGTAAAATAACTTATTAATTTTGAGGGAAAACACTGGAATATTTTTCTTTTGTTTATCCTTCCTACCCTTCAGACATGAATTTTGTAGGAATGAGTCTTATACCTGACAAAAAGGACAATAGAAAAATTACCCACATAATGGAATATATTATGCATATCTAAAATTTCTGGTGTGTAATATAATACAGAAATTATAAAATGTAGTTTTTAATTTATTTTTGTGATGCTGGGGATTGAAACATGGAGTGCTCTACCACTAAACTATATCCCCAGTCCCTTTTAAAATTTTGAGACAGGGTCTTGCTAAATTGCTCAAGCTGTCCTCGTACTTGGAATCTTCCTGCCTCAGCTTCTTAGTTAGCTGGGGCACCTGGTCTGGCCTAAAAATTTGATTTTTCCTCACCTTCTAGCTAAGATTTAACATGACTCTTTTTTTTTTTTTTTTTTTGGTGCTGGGGATTGAATCCAGGGCATGCTAGTCAGGTGTTCTAACACTGAGCCACATCCTCAGCCCAGATTTAACAGGTCTTGTGTGTTCTAATATGATGATGAAGCATTTAGCCCAGCTGTTCTGATCTGGTGAGGTTAGAATTGAAAATTGCTATTGGCTATACTGTGCAGGAAGCAGAGACCCAAGGGGTTTTTATTCAGAATACCTTGGGCCAAGTTTATTTGTAATTACCTCTTGGTAAGTCTTTTTCCTGAGCTGGTTTAAACTGTGCTAGTCAGATTAAAGTTTAAGTCTGCTTAAATTTAAGTTGAATGATACTCATGAATCCTTCCTCAGACACAGCCTAGATTATCAGACTACTGCTTGGAGATTTTCTAATCTATTTGACTTCTGGTGTGACAGGTCTGAAACTCCCAAGGCCTGAACAAAATATTTGGATCTCATTGTTCATATTTTGGTCTACTATTTAAATATCCATTTAATAATATTATTTAAGATGAATTTTCAGATTTGTTTAACCATGACAGATATCCTCAGTAAGAGAATTCTTACAATTTGAACTTTTAAAATTTGGATTTGAATCTTCATGAACTTTAGGATAATTTTAGATGTAGGTTTCATCATTCATTCATTCATTTATGTTTTGTATTGGGGATTGAACCTAGGGACATTTTACCACCGAGCTACATCCCCAGCGCTTCTTTATTTTATTTTTATTATGAGTCAGGGTCTCGCTAAGTGACTGCAGCTGATCTAGAACTTTCGATCCATAGCCTGATTAACTGTCAAGAATTTTAAGCTGATGAATATGCTACCACATATCTTGGACTTTGTTGGCAAAGTTACTTGTTATATTGAGATTTAATTTCAGCTGGATAGAATTCATATTTAGTCATTTTCCAGTAAATTTCACAGGGTAGATCAGGAACCAAGATTTTTTGGGTTTAAGAGATTTAGGATATGGGTAGATGAACCATTTGATTGTAGGTGAGCCTCTGAGGTGATCACCACCTTTGTTTCCATTTTGTCCTGAGCTTCCTGTGTAGATAAATGAGGTTATTTGAGTAAACTGTCTTATAATCTTTTACTAAGAATTTGTGCATTGATTTTAAGAGTGTTGTAGAAATGATTGTTATTTATGTCTTTAGGTTTATAGAAATGAAAGAAGTGGCTTTTCCTCCTTTGACTTCTTGACAGAAGATGCTTCCACTTTACTAGTGGGACACTGGGATGGAAATATGTCACTGGTGGATAGACGAACACCTGGAACTTCTTTTGAGAAACTAATTCGTTCTTCTTTGAGAAAAATAAGAACTGTTCATGTTCACCCAGTGCACAGACAGTATTTCATGACTGCAGGGTTGAGGTATGTTCTTCTGAAAATGTAATGATTTAGTCCTTTTTTATTAATATTTATTTTTTTAGCTGCAATTGGATATAATGCCTTTATTTTATTTATTTATTTCTATGGGCTCTGAGGATCGAATCCAGGGCCTTGCACATGCTAGGAGCGCTCTGCCACTGAGCCACAACCCCAGCCCAGATTTCATGCCATGAATATATGGTTTAGTTTGGTTGTCAAACACATCTGACTTTTGTGATACACAAAGGCCAAATAATTTTCCTTTCTTCACTTAATGGGGGCTTTTCTTGAGTGAGATTTTTTTTTTAAATGAGAAATTCATTTGGATTTAATAAATAGTGAAAATATTGAAAGAAATGTACATTTTTGTTTTCATTGGCACCATATGCATATGCATTTGTTTCTAGTTTTATGAGAAGAAAATTTTTATAACTTGGGCATGATGGCATATGCCTGTAATCCCAGGAGGCTGAGGCAGGAGAATCGTGAATTCAAAGCCAGCCTCAGCAACTTAGTGAGGCGCTAAGCAACTCTGGGAGACCCTGTCTCTAAATAAGATCCAAAAAAGGGCTGGGGATGTGGCTCAGTAGTTCAGTGTCCCTGGGGTCAATCTCTGGCACTAAAACAAACAAAAATAAAATAAAATTGTATGTGATCTGTAACTTGGCTTTTTTCTTGGAGATATTGAAAAATCTGTGTTGCCTTTTTTCTTGGAGAGATTGAAAAACCAATTTTGTACATGCAGGTTATAGGTATCTGCTCTAATTTTTGAATTTTTCTAATATTTTACTTTTCATCTGTATCAATAACTTTAAAATTAAAACCGAATTAGGGGTTATGTCTTAAATGTTATTCCATGTAGCAAGTATTTGAGTTTCTATCTTATGTTTAACCCTGTTCTAGAGGCTCATTACATGTACTCTGACAACACTAATAATTCTTCCTCTCATTACAGGGATATTCATATTTATGACGTCAGGCACCTGAAACTCAGGGGAAGCCAGCCTTTGATTTCTTTGACTGAACACACGAAGAGCATTGCTTCTGCCTATTTTTCACCTGTTACTGGTAACAGAGTAGTGACCACATGTGCTGATTGTAAGCTGAGGTAAATTCAGAAGGCAGAAATATGGTTTTAAGGAATCTAAAGAGTCTGTAGCTATTGTAAAGGAGACACTTAATTTACTGTTGTTCCTATTTAATCGCTAGAGTTACTATTTTGTAGCCATATTGAGGTTCACAGAAAGCATATACTTAATGGTTTCACAGCAGTTTTGGGGTCTAGAGATTTCCTTGAGATTGGAAAAGGTCGATAGCTACCCTGGGGAATTGATGGTCAGGCTTTCTTTTCAACACTGAAGCAGCCCCCAAATCCCAATGAAACCAGGTTGTGTGTCCTCTTGGAAAGGAGATAATTTTAGCATAGGGAGAAGCTCTTACTTTGTGGACTAGGTTCTACATTATAGGTGATTTGTTGAATGGAAATTGTATAGTCCCAGACCATGGGCAGGCGGAAAACGTAGCAAAAATTTGGCTTATTTACAAACTTGTGGATATGGTTCTAGGGTTTTGGCTTTGGTATTTCTAAAGCTACTTCCTAAAAATTGATTTTAAAATCAGTTGATCCAAAGTAGAAAAGTCATTCAACAAATATCTGTTGAATATCTGACATGAGTCAGGCTCAGATATGGCACTTTATTTCTGGTTGAAAGTTTATGGAATGGCACCCATTGGGAAAAGCATGGTCTGCAATGTGTGACAGGTGCCCAGTTAGTTTCTAGCACAGTATGTGAGCATTACCAAGAGATGAAGTAAGAGAGTCACTAGGGAATGGCACCCCTGTGTCCTATTTCCACAATACAGTTTCTTTAGTCTTGAGCTACCTATTGTCCCATTCTTGTTCATTTACACTGACAAGTTTACTTTTGTTACATTAACCATTAATGATTTGGCTGTCTAGTAATCTAGGCAAGAAGCTCTAGTGTGGAGTAAGTACATTGTAATAGTTAAGCAAAATGAAAAGGGGAGATGGTAGTGATGTGTTTGGTTTCTTTCTGGCACAGTACTTAGTGGAGGCTTCTGGACTCTTTGGGTGCTGGCCCTTCAGCACCTGGAAATGATAATATCAGGCCCTCAACTGATGAGTTTTGTAGGGAAATTGCTCTTGATACATGTGTATACTTTAAGGGAATTAGCATTTTCAAATCACATCCCTGTGTATGTCTCATTGTGAATCCAAATATAGTTTGAGTCCAGATTATCACTTTAGAATGTTCATTTTAAGTTTGGAGTACTAGTTTAAATATCTCCACATAAATCCATAAATACTGGATTTTTATAATATTCCTTATAATTTTATAAAATTCTTTTAGTTCAATATATCTGCTGAGGTTAGAATATGATCCTATATATTTTAAAATAATTATAGTTAATACAACAAACCAATGAATGTCTTGTTAAATACACTGATGCTATTTCAGGAAAATTTCCAGAAATAATAAAAAGATCTATCTGGTTCATGTTATTTTGCAGAGTCTTTGACAGCAGCTGTATTTCTTCCCAGATTCCTCTCCTCACCACCATCAGGTAGGCTTCCATATGCCAAATAAACAGTTCCTGGATTGCTTTGAACTATTTGTTGGAGGGCATAAGTTAGACATCTGATTGTTAAAGAGTTGTAATAGGCCTGATTTTTGTATCACATTGTATAAGTGTCCTAGTTTTCTAGTTGCTATCCAGAGAGCTCTTGCTTCCAGGTTGCCTGTGTCTATAAAGAGGTTCAATCTCTTTTAGTCAGTAGCTATTCTCTGCAGGTGGAAGTTATTTTTGGATAAGGTTAATGACTTTATTCTGACCTGAATTACTCATGTTACTTTATTAAAGAAGACTAACTACTCATTTGCTGATGAGGCTATCTGAAGCTCTGTTTATTTGTGCTTGTTTATTCTGGGCTTGAGTGCCTTTCCCAACTTCCTACTTATTTAATTTCTTTGATCACCCTCTTTTTCCATCTGCTGTTTAGAGAGAGTGAGTGTTTTTTTACACCTATTTTACACCTTGCCTTCTCCCTTGATAACTCCGTTTTTTAGTGTTTATGAAGTTAGGGACAGGGTGTGTGATTGTTGCTTTCTGAGTTTTATAGTCTTTATAGGCTATACTTAAGTATATTTATTTTTTGTAAGTTTTTTCCCATTTAAATTTCTCTTCCATACTTTATGTTCTAGCTTATAAGTTTCTTTTTTTCATATTCACAATTTGCTTGACAAAAATTGTACATAGGCTGGGCACGGTGGCCCACACCTGTAATCTCATTGGCTCTGGAGATTGAGGCAGGAAGATTGTGAGTTCAAAGCCAGCCTCAGCAACTAAGGCGCTAAGCAACTAAGCGAGACCCTGTCTGTAAATAAAATACAAAAAAGGGCTGGGGTTGTGGCTCGGTGGTTGAGCGCCCCTGGGTCTAATCCCCAGGATTAAAAAAAAAGTACATGTTTATTGTATATAGCATGTTTTGAAATATGTATATATTATGGAATAATATATATAATATAATATATATAATTAGCATATGCATTGCTTCTCACCATTTTTTTGGGTGAGAACACTTTAAAAAATCAGTGATTTTGGGGGCTGGGGATGTGGCTCAAGCGGTAGCGCGCTCGCCTGGTATGCGTGCACCACATACCAACAAAGATGTTGGGTCTGCTGAGAACTGAAAAATAAATATTAAAAATTCTCTCACTCTCTCTCTCTCCTCTCTCACTCTCTCTTTAAAAAAAAAGTGGTTTTGAAGAATATGACACATTGTTATTAACTATAATCATCATGTATACAATAGATATCTTGAACTTATTCCCACGAGAATTTGTGTTCTTTGACCAATATCTCCCAACCCTTCCCCCACCAGCTTTTGTTAACATCATTCTGAGTTCAACTTTTTTAGATTCTTCATGTGATTGAGATTATGTGGCATTTATTTTTTGATGCCTAGTTATTTCACTAAACATGTCTTTCAGATTTGTTCATGTTGTTGCAAATGACAACATTTCTTTCTTTTTAAAGGCTGAATGGCATTGCAGTTGTATTTTATTCATTAATTGGTTGATGGACACTTAGGCTGATTCAGTAATCATGGCTATTGTGAATAATTCTGCGATGAACACAGGAGTGCAAATATCTGACTCACTGATTTAATTTTTCTTTGGATATATACCCAGTAGTGAGATTGCTGGATCTTCTTCCTCCCTCCCTCCCTCCCTCCCTCCCTTCCTTCCTTCCTTCTTTTGTAGTTGTAGATGGACAGCATGCCTTTATTTTACTTATTTTTATGTGGTGCTGAGGATTGAACCTAGTGCCTCACACATGTGAGGCAAGTCCCAGCCCTGGTAGTTCATTTTTTAAATAGTTTGAGGAACCTTCATACTGCTTTCTATAGTATCTGTACCAGTTTACATTTCCACCAACAGTGTATAGGGTTTCTTTTTCTCTACATCCTCTCCAACATTCCAACATTTACCTTTTTTTTTTTTTTTCTTTTGTGCTAAAGATCAAACTCGGGTCCTGGTGCTTGCTAAGCAGGTACTTTACCATTGAGCTGTACCCCTAGCCCTACGCTATGACTTAATAATAGCTGTTTTAACAGAGGTGAGGGGATATTTTATTGTGGTTTTAATATGTATTTCTCTGATTTAGTGAAATTGAACTTTTAAAAAACCCATCTGTTGGCCATGTATACATCTTTTTTAAAAGAAGTATCTATTCACATACTTTGCCCATTTTCTAATTGGGTTTTTTTTTATGGAGTTGAGTTCCTTATGTATTTTGGATATTAACTCCTCAGATACAAATATTTTCTTATTTCAGATACATATATTTTCTTCCATAGATTGTCTTTTCACTCTGTAGATGATTTCCTTAGTTGTGCAATAGGTTTTTAGTTTGATAAAGTTCCATTAGTCTATTTTTTGGGGGGTGAGGGTGGTAACAAGGATTGAACTTAGGTGCTCTTAACCACTGAGCAACATCCCTAGTCCTTATTTTTTATTTTGAGACAGGCTCTTGCTAAGTTAATCAGGCCCTCACTCAGTTGCTGAGGCTGACTTTGAATTTGTAATCCTCCTGCCTCAGCCTCCCAAGCCACTGGGATTACAGGTGTGCACTACTATGCCTGACTTATTTTTTGCTTTTATTGTCTGTGCTTTTGAGTTCATATCCCAAAACTCATACTCCAGACTAATGTTATGGAACTTCCCCCTGTGTTCTTCTAGTAGTCTTCCAGTTTTAGGTCTTGCATTTAAGTCTTTAATCCATTTAAATTGATATTTGTGTATGGTAGAAATCCATTTTCATTCTTCTGTATGTGAATATCCTCTTTTTCTAACTTCATTTATTGAAGAGACTGTACTTTCCCTATTGTGTGTTCTTGGCATCTTTGTCAAAAATCAGTTGACTGTAAATGGTGTGGATTTATCTCTAGGCTGTATATTCAGATACATTTATACATATATCTATTTTTATGTCAATACCATATTAATTACAGTAGCTTTGTAGTATATTTTTAAGCCAGGTAGTGTGATCCTTCAGCTTTGTTTGCATAATATTTGATTGGCTCTTCAGAATTTTAGCATTGCTTTCTATTTTTATAAAAAATGTCTTTGGAATTTTGATAGAAATCACATTGAATCTATAGATTGAGAAGTATGGACATTTTTAAAATACCAGTTTTTCTTTTTTTTTTTTTAAATATTTCTTTTAATTGTACATAATGCCTTTATTTATTTATTTATTTTTATGTGGTGCTGAGGATTGAACCCAGGGCCTTGCACATGCTAGGCAAGCGCTCTACTGCTGAGCCACAACCCCAGTCCAATACCAGTTTTTTAAATCTGTGAACACAGGATATCTTTACATTTATTTGTGTCTTGTTCAATTTTTTTTTCATCAGCATTTTATAGTTTTCAGCATTTAGGTCTTTTTACCTCTGCCATAATCTATTTTCCATTGTTATAATAGAATAATGGAGCCTGGAAATTTGTAAAGAAGAGAGGTTTATTTTGGTTCAGGGTTTTGGAGCCTGGGAAGTGTGAAAGTATAATGCTGGCATCTATTTAGCTTCTGGTGAGGGCCTCATGCTCCTTCAACTCATGTTGGAAAGCAGAAGGACAAGCAGGTGCCGGTGAAAGACAAAATACAGAGGTGGACTTGCTTAATAACAGCCTGTTCTTGCAGGAACTAATGTGATTCTGTGAGAGTGAGAACTCATTCATCCAAGAAAGGTATTAATCCATTCACGAGACCTCTACTTCCATGACCCAATGCCCACCATCCAACACTGCTGCAAAATCAAGCTTCCACTTGAGTTTCAGAGGGAAAAACATGTATTCAAACCACAGCAACCTTCTTGGTTCATTACATTTATTCCTGAAAGTGGGTATGGTGGTGTGTGCTTGTAGTCCTAGCTATAACCTGAGGCAGGAGGATTGCCTGAGTCCAGGAATTTGAGGTAAGACCCTATCTCAGAAAACAAAATCAAACTTTATTCTGAAGCAGCTACAGGTCAGGAGGATTCTGTCTGAACAAAAGGGAAGTTTTTTCCACCAATCACAACAAAAAATTTATTCTGAAGCATTTTATTTTTTTGTAGTTATTATATGTGGAATTCTTTTCTTCCTCCCTCCCTCCCTTAGGATTGAACCCAGGACCTCTTGCATGCTAGACAAGTGCTCTTATCACTGAGCTACATCCCCAGCCTCAGGGATGTTTTCTTTATTTCTTTTTTAGATGTTGATGTATCGAGTGTATAGAAAAGTCATCCCCTGGGTTAGTTTACCATTATCTTGCTCACCCCCCAAAAAGAAATACCACTGATTTTGTATGTTAAATTTTATATTCTGAAGCTTTTTGGAATTTTCATCAGTTTTTAGGATTTTATATGTTCCTATGGTCATACTGACTGTGAACAATGACAGTTTTACTTCTATGGTCATATTGATTGTGAACAATAACAATTTTATTTCTTTTCCAATTTGGATGCCTTTTATTTTTTTTTCCTTCCTTATTGTTCTGTCTGGGAGTTACTTTTGGTACTCTGTGGAATAGAAGGGGCAAGAGGGGGCATCCTTGCCTTGTTTCTGATTTTAGAGGAAAAGCTTTCAATTTTTCACTGTTGCATATGAATTTTGCTGTGGTTTTTGTTGTCTATGGTCTTTACTATGTTGAGGTACAATACTTCACTACCTTATTTGTTGAGAGGATTTTATCAGGAAAGGGATTGAAGTTTGTCAAATATTTTTCAAAATCTGTTGAGATAGTCATATGGGTTTTTTGCTTCATTGTGTTAATGTGGAGTATCATATTTATAGATTTGCATATTTTGACCATTCTTGTATCCTTAGGGTAACTCTCACTTTATCATAATGAACAATCTCTTTAAAATGCTGTTGAGTTTGGTTTTCCATTGTTATAGTAGAATAATGGAGCCTAGAAATTTATAAAGAAGAGAGGTTTATTTTGGTTCAGGGTTTTGGAGCCTGGGAAATGTGAAAGTATAATGCTGTAATTTATTTATTTATTTAGGTTGGTACCGGGGA